TGGGTGCTGACTCTGGGGGTGCTGAGACTTCGGGTGCTGACTCTGGGGGTGCTGCGAGTCCTTTTGGAGGTCCTGGTGCTGGAGGTACTGGAGCTGCTGCTGGTGCTGGAGGTGCTGGAGCTGGAGGTACTAGAGGTGCTTCTGGTGCTGGAGGTGCTAGAGCTACCACTACTAGAGGTACTGGAGCTGGACAGCCACCGCAGCCTGCTCTACTTGAGACGCTCTCGCCGCAGGCGATTCGTGCGTGGGTCGTTCTGCGAGGCAGTCCTGGTGGTGGAGGGTACGGTCCTGCTGGTGCTGGAGCTACTAGTCCAGGAGTTGCTGCTGGTGCTGGAGGTGCTGGAGGTACTGCTGGAGGTGCTGGAGGTACTACTGGAGGTACTAGAGGTGCTGCTGGTGCAGGAGGTACTGGAGCTGCTAGTGCTGGGGGTACTGGAGCTGCTGCCGGTGCTGGAGGTACTGGAGCTGTTGGCACTGGAGGTGCTGGTGCTCCTGGTGCTGGAGCTGCGGGAGCTGCTGACCCTGGAGGTGCTGGAGCTACTGGTCCCGGAGGTGCTCGTACTGGAGGTGCTGGAGCTGCCGGAGCAGGTGGTACTGCTGGTGCTGGAGGTGCAGGAGGTGCTACTGGAGCTGCTGGCACAGGAGGTACTGGAGGTACTACTGGTGCTGGAGGCGCTGGAGCTGGAGCTGGAGGCACTGGAGGTGCTGGAGGTACTACTGGTGCTCGAGGTGCTGGCGCTGTCGGAGCTCGTGGTGCTGGAGGTGCTGGTGCTACTGGTGCTGGAGGTCTTGCTGGGGGTACTGGAGGAGCTGCTCGTGCTGGAGGTACGGGAGCTACTGGTGCTCTTCGCCACCTTCTCAGTCTTCCGCCAGGTGCTACTGGCTTTCCTGTGGCAGGTACTACTCCTCCGTTGCTGTGTCCGCCAGCGGACCAGTCACAGCCACCGCTGCTACCACACTCCCCACTGCCTGCTCCTGCTCCTTACACTGCGGTGTCAGAGTCCCTGCCTGAGCGTCGAGAGCCTGAGACTCGTGCTTCCACCCCTGAGCGTCGAGAGCCTGAGTCTAGCTTTGACCTTGAGCCTGAGCCTAGAGCTGCTGTCCGTGCTCGTGTTCCTCGTGTTCGTCGTCCGCGTGCTCCGGCTGTCCCCGACACTCACGATATGACACTCCGTCCTTCCTCTGTTCCTCAGCGTGTTGTACTACCGTTACCTCCTGCGTCCTCTCTGCCTGACGTTGCTGACCCTCCGTCTGACCTTGCTCGTGCGTCCAGTCCGACTGTTACTCGCCTTCTTGCTACGGTTGTGACGGACCCTACGTTCTCGTCTCCTGCTGCGTCTGCCCTAGTAGCTGAGCTTGTTGACTTTGCTGCTGTGTACCGCCTAGACTACCTTGCGAGTCTTGTCTCTGACCCTGTCCCTGCCTGTCCTCCGTCCGTCGGGGGTGAGACTGCTCTTGGCTGTACTGCCCTTGGCTGTGACGTTCTTGAGGACAGACACGAGGAGCTGGAGTGCCTTGCTGCCGCTTCACCCCATCACGCAACCATGCTGCTTGCCCCTGAGGGAGACCCGGATGCACTTGACATCCCCACCCCGCGCTCCTACAGGGAGGTGATTTCGGGTGAGTACTCCTCTCAGTGGCAGACAGCCATGGACGCAGAGATGGCTTCCTGGAAGTCCACAGGCACCTACGTCGACGAGGTTCCCCCACCTGGGGCGAACATCGTCAGTGGCATGTGGATTTTCAGGGTGAAGCGGCCGCCGGGTTCCCCGCCTGCCTTCAAGGCACGTTACGTTGCTCGAGGCTTCAGTCAGCGTGAGGGGGTCGACTTCTTTCAGACCTTCTCCCCCACCCCGAAGATGACCACTCTTCGGGTGTTGCTACACGTTGCAGCTCAGCGTGACTACGAGCTGCACTCCCTCGACTTCTCGACAGCTTTCTTGCAGGGTAGCCTTCACGAGGCCATCTGGTTGCGCCGTCCACAGGGTTTCACTGGGTCGTTTCCTGAGGGTACCCAGTGGAGCCTACGGCGACCAGTGTACGGCCTGCATCAGGCGCCCCGTGAGTGGCACGACACACTGAGGACGACACTTGCGGCTCTTGGGTTTGCTCCTTCGACTGCTGACCCGTCGCTGTTTCTACGCACCGACACTACTCTGCCGCCGTTCTACATCCTCGTGTACGTCGACGACTTGGTTTTTGCTACTGGTGACACTGAGGCACTGGCCCTAGTGAAGGCAGAGCTGCAGGAGAGACACACCTGCACTGACCTGGGTGAGCTGCGGAGCTATCTTGGCTTGCAGATCACCCGGGACAGACCACGGCGCACCATCACCCTCACTAAGTCACACATGGTGCACCAGGTCCTTCAGCGCTTCCGCTTCACGTGGTCCTCGCCACAGCCCACTCCTCTGTCTACCGGCCACTCGCTCTCAGCTCCACCTTCGGACGAGTCCGTAGAGCCGAGTGGTCCGTACCCAGAGCTTGTGGGTTGCCTCATGTACCTGATGACGTGCACACGACCTGACCTCGCGTACCCTCTCAGCCTCCTGGCTCGCTACGTGGCACATGGTCGACACCGAAAGGTGCACTTTGATGCTGCGAAGAGGGTACTGCGTTACTTGTGCAGCACATCGGGCATGGGGCTCGTGCTTGGAGGACGGGGTTCGATAGTCCTCACAGGACACTCTGACGCTTCTTGGGCCGACGACCAGACGACTCAGCGTTCGTCACAGGGTTACACCTTCAGTCTTGGCGCTGGTTCTGTCTCGTGGAGGTCCACTCGTTCTTCTTCTGTGCTTGGTTCCAGCTGTGAGGCCGAGATCTACGCTGGGGCCATGGCTGCACAGGAGCTACACTGGCTGACCTACCTGCTGACCGACTTGGGGGAGCGGCCTCGTTCTCCTCCTGTTCTGTACGTCGACAACAAGGCAATGCTTTCCTTGTGTCGCGAGCAGAGACTGGAGCACAGAACGAAGCACATTGCTCTTCGCTACTTCCTTGCGCGTGAGCTGCAGCAGCGTGGTCAGCTGCGCCTTGCTTACGTGGCCTCTCGGGCCAACACTGCTGATGTCTTCACCAAGGCCCTTGGGGCTGGTGATCATCACCGTTTCTGCACTGCTCTTGGGCTTGTGCCCACTCTGCCTCACCTGTTGGTTGCTTGACTTGCTCTTGTTGTACACTGCTATATATCTTTATGCCTGCATGTTTTCTCTTGCTAGGTTGTGATCAGTGTACTGCCTTGCTATTATATACCTCTGCATGTGAACTGGCCTTGTGGCCACTTGCTTGTGCTCAGAATGCGTGGTGACTTTGTGATCCACCCTGAGCTGTGTTCTCTTCTGCAGACTGGTCTTGTGACCGCTTGTTGTGTTTGCTGTCCCCTACTTTGCCTATGGGGGTGTGTCAGATTACAATTGTATCTCTAGGCTACAGTAGGGTCACTCCTTAGTGAGTACAACACTTTAGGGTTAGGTTTCCCCTACTTGTACTCACCTCTTGCCTAGTCCAATCCATCATTCCTAGTTGTATTCTTGACAAACAGTATAGCTGATCCCGCATAAGAATTATTTTATAAAACTTCTGGTGCGAAGCAGAAATTTTCGTCGAAATTGGGCAAATATGACGTGACCATTCGAATTTTGCTTGGCGTGATCCGAAATCGGTTTTGATTCAGACTGTTTGTGTTAACTCGAATCGGATATAGTATGAAAATGAATTATCGACAGAAATTCCTTTACAGTGAATCTTGTGTTCGTATCTGCACAGTAACCTGGATCGCACATGAGTAGATTTCCTAGCAAGAGTAGATTACACCTGAAAATGGCCCGTCATAATGGACTTCTGCAACTGTAAGTTTGAACCGGCCAATATCATTGGTACTCAGATTATGCCAGGCGCGGTTCGCAAACGTAATCAACCGACAATTTCTCGGTATAATAACTACATATAACATTTCATCTGGGTTTAAGCACAATTCTAAAACAAAGTCACCTCAACCGCACGTACCCAACAAAACAGGAAAAAATACTAAAACGCTTGGATATTAGCCTTAAATGAGCCGTCTAGTGTTTAGAACTATGCCATTTGCTTGGATTATCTCAACGAACAAACGACACCGTCCAGCAGAGCTTGCTTCCCGCATGCAATAAAAAAAACCCATGCGGAAAGGCGTCCAGTCCGGGTGGCATCAACCTTAAACACCTTGTCGCATGGCGTTTAAGGTTGATGCCTCCTTACATAACATCCCATTTGATGTGGTTTTAGTTTCTTTATGTTCTAGGTCAGCAGGTCCATGGTCGACGGAGGGTTGACGGTGTCGTCGACCCCATTCTGTTAAATTATTCCGAGTCTGCATCATTTTTCCCAACGGTTGTTTTTACAAAAATGATACAATTCCCATTCAGCTTGATACAATTTTTATTTCTTGGGTAGCACCTCGACACAATTGTTCATATTTAACTTAGTTAATCGCGTTTTGTTTCTGTCACATTTCGGAGGTGTTATTAACGTGAAAGTGTGATTGAAAAGCGAGAACCAATCAGCGATGAGAAATCGAGGTTGAGTACCGATGCAAACTTTCTCTGGCATACTTTGAGTATCAATGATATTGGCCGAAGTTTGAACTGATTTTGTGTCGGTGGATTTGGAATATTCCTTCCAGCAGGTTATGTCGCCGCTGATGTGTCTTGATTCCCTGCACATTTGGACGCGGCTTGCCAAGTCATCTGACCAGCAAAGTTCCCGCTCAATGGATCACAGCTTTTGCTCGCATTCATCAGCGACATTGCGCCTTCACTCATCCGCGACCTTGAGCTCTCGTTCATTTCTCCGATTGCCTGCTCGCTGCGAATTACACCACCCTCTTTCGATCTCCGATTGCCCTCCCCGCCCTCCTCGCCCCCTCCGCAGCTTCCGCGTCGCATCCACCCGACGGCAACGATGCCTCGCGGTCGAGCGTAGCTGCCGCCACCGCCGCCGCAGCCGCCGTAGATGGCGGCATGGCGGGCGCGGGCATGGGATTGGGGATGGGGATGGGGGAAGGCGGAGAGGGGATAGCGGATCAGTTTGTCTCTACTGAGGATCTCACATCGGCGAATGCGGTGGCAGATGCGACGGCCAATGCGGCGAGAGATGCAGCGACGGACGCGGCGGGACAGGCGGAGTTCGATCCGAGATTAGAGGGGGTGGAAGAGGAGGAGCGGTTGGTGGAAGAGCTGGTGACGTGGATGGAGGAGAGAGGCGTGAGAGGGATCCGAGGCGAGGAGGCCGCAGTGGAGGTGAGACGATGGGGGCTGTGTGGATCCCTGAGTCGGACTCAGAAGTTGGGTGATGTGGAGAGAATGATGTATATTTTGAGGGCGGGTCCAGCGCGTTCGTCCCTCGTTCGTTTTGTGCGGATACTCGTGCTGCGTCACGGTGCAAAACGGTGAGACTTGATCACCGCTGTGCACCGTCTGGAATCGTCTTGCGCCAAGCCGAATGAACTCTAAACGAACGCGCTGGACCCGCCCCGAGAAATTTCAAAGAGAGCCTACAACACAAAGGAGATGAGCAGATGTGTGGAGAGATGGAGGTGGCGAGGAGGTGGTGCAGTGAGGTGCATGCAGGGGAGGGGGTGTGCTCATTTCAACACTGCTGCATGCAAGCGTGCTTTTCTCCCACCACACCCTTACCCTCTCCCCGCGTTCCACTCGCCACAACTCATGCATACTTCTGCTCTCTCCTCCCCTGCCGCCCTCCCCTGCCGCCCTCTCCCGTGCCTCCCCTGGTGCACGCGAGCAGGTGCTCATCGATGCCAACACCACTCTCAAGGCGTCGGGCAGGTCAAGGTGAGTCAACGCCAGTCAATGCAAGTCAAAACAAACAAGCGCCAAGTCAAAACAAACAAGCGCCAAGTCAAACAAGGCGGCTCATCACAGGCATACATCCCCAATCCACTCTTCTTACCCTGCCCCTTGCCGTACTTCCCAGCACATCTCACTTGGCTATTATTTCTCACAAGATTTCTCCCCTCCCCTCCACCCACTTCTTTCCCCCACCTTCTTACCCCATCTCTTCCTCCCCCCCCCCTCCCTCCTCCTTTCCCCCACCCGCCACCCCACTGGCAGGGCGAATCTGTGCATGGTGGCGCGGCGCCCCAAAACGGAGGGCGAGGTGTTTCTCCAGTTAGCCTCCTCACCTTTCTTCCCCTTGTAGTTTATGAGCTGGACACCTCTTAACCCTCACTTTCCTTACCCCCCTTTTCCTTCTTCCCCCCCCCCCCCAACCCCCCTTCCCTTCCCACCCTACTGGCAGGTTGAACTTTCGCATGATGGCGCGTCGCCCCATCGCGGAGGGCGAGGCGTTTCTGTCGCTGCCTCGCTCGCCCTCTCTGCCTCTCACGCGCTGGAGGAGGCAAAGCCGTACGAGGGAGAGGTGAGTGACCTGTGCTAACAACTCAAGTAGCACCAACCAACCCGGATATCTAGCAAGCCAACCAAACGTCTCAATATCCCATAGACAACCATTGCCTTTCAAGCGTATCCACTCTCCCTCCTCACCCGGATATCTGCTACACACACGCATCCGCCCGCAGCACACTGCCAGGCGCTTCCACCCGCACCTTACCACACGCATACACACCCCTTCACTCGTACCATCTTTCCCCACCCCACACGCGCAAATCCATCCGTCCACGGCGTTGGCAACCATATAACCTTTCCACAATATCTCTCCCTTTCCCCCAAACCCCTCCCTCCCCCCCCCCCCCCCCCCCCCCCCCCACCCCCCAGGTGCATCCATTCACGGCGCTGGCGGCGTGGGTGCTGAGGGAGCGGGCCAAGGGGCGCGCGTCTCTCTGGGCGCCCTTCGTGTGCGTGCTGCCCGCCCACCTGCCCTTCCCACACCTCTTCTCCGACCGCCTCCGCACGGAGCTCCAATCCCAGTCGCTGCTCATGGCTGTGAGCTTCAGTTCCCAACCCAACCCCTGCCCTGTCTTGTACTGCGTTCCAGTCAAATCACGTCATGATGCTGTATCTGCCATGTGTCTCTGTCTCTCCCAAGCCTTCTCCCCCATGCCGTTTCTCAACCAAGACATGACTCCGCAATTGTGTCTCACCAAAGCCTACCTCAATTTCTTCTCTTCAATTTGCGCCACAGACTGCAGAGCACAAGCGCATGCTCTCAGAAGAGTACAAAAAGTGCCGGCCAGAAGCCATTGCGGATGCAACGGAGGAGGAGTTCCTGTGGGCGGTAGGCATGGTCACCTCGCGTATATTCACACTCCGTACAAGCAACAGCACTGCCAGCGGTGATGACAGTGGTGGCAGCAGCAGCAGCAGCAGCAGCAGCAGCAGCAGTGCTGCCAGCAACGGCACGGAGACAGTTCTCTTCCCCTATGCGGACCTGTTTGACACCGACAACGCACCCGTCGCCATGTGGCAGGTGGGTGCCGTGTGCCAACTATTTTGATTTTGTTAGCTCGCAACAAGTTAGTATTTCCCTTTCACTGGCCTCTACTCCCTGCGCCTCTCCTCTCGCCCTGCACTCACCACCAAATCCGCTGCTCTCATCAATCAAACCAACGCAATTGCAGGTTCCCCAACCCTCCGTTGCCAATCCCTTAACCCTCAGCTCCTCTCCTCTCTCCCTCGTCCCCCTGCATTCCCACTACCCCCACCTCCCCGCCTCCCCCAGGGCAACGACACGAACATCACATTCACGGCCACGGGCAACATTTCACTGGGCCAGCACGTGAGCGTGGAGTCGGGGCTGCTGGCCAACGATGAGGCGCTGCTGTCGCGCGGCATGGCGCTGCTGACCAACTACCGTGACTCGGTGGACGTGTTCGACTACCCTGAGGTGGCCATTGACTTCTTTGGCCGCCACTACTTCCGCACCCACTGGGAGTCTTTTATGGAGGTATGGTGCTGAGTGGGTTGGAGGTACGGTGCTGAGGGGGTTGGAGGTATGGTGCTGAGGGGGTTGGAGGTACGGTGCTGAGGGGGTTGGAGGTATGGTGCTGAGGGGGTTGGAGGTATGGTGCTGAGGGGGTTGGAGGTATGGTGCTGAGGGGGTTGGAGGTACGGTGCTGAGGGGGTTGGAGGTATGGTGCTGAGGGGGTTGGAGGTATGGTGCTGAGGGGGTTGGAGGTATGGTGCTGAGGGGGTTGGAGGTATGGTGCTGAGGGGGTTGGAGGTATGGTGCTGAGGGGGTTGGAGGTACGGTGCTGAGGGGGTTGGAGGTATGGTGCTGAGGGGGTTGGAGGTATGGTGCTGAGGGGGTTGGAGGTACGGTGCTGAGGGGGTTGGAGGTATGGTGCTGAGGGGGTTGGAGGTATGGTGCTGAGGGGGTTGGAGGTATGGTGCTGAGGGGGTTGGAGGTACGGTGCTGAGGGGGTTGGAGGTATGGTGCTGAGGGGGTTGGAGGTATGGTGCTGAGGGGGTTGGAGGTATGGTGCTGAGGGGGTTGGAGGTACGGTGCTGAGGGGGTTGGAGGTATGGTGCTGAGGGGGTTGGAGGTACCGTGGTGAGGGGGTTGGAGGTACGGTGCTGAGGGGGTTGGAGGTACGGTGCTGAGGGGGTTGGAGGTATGGTGCTGAGCGGGTTGGAGGTATGGTGCTGAGGGGGTTGGAGGTACGGTGCTGAGGGGGTTGGAGGTACGGTGCTGAGGGGGTTGGAGGTATGGTGCTGAGGGGGTTGGAGGTACGGTGCTGAGGGGGTTGGAGGTTTGGTGCTGAGGGGGTTGGAGGTACGGTGCTGAGGGGGTTGGAGGTACGGTGCTGAGGGGGTTGGAGGTATGGTGCTGAGGGGGTTGGAGGTATGGTGCTGAGGGGGTTGGAGGTACGGTGCTGAGGGGGTTGGAGGTACGGTGCTGAGGGGGTTGGAGGTATGGTGCTGAGGGGGTTGGAGGTATGGTGCTGAGGGGGTTGGAGGTTTGGTGCTGAGGGGGTTGGAGGTATGGTGCTGAGGGGGTTGGAGGTATGGTGCTGAGGGGGTTGGAGGTATGGTGCTGAGGGGGTTGGAGGTACGGTGTTGAGGGGGTTGGAGGTATGGTGCTGAGGGGGTTGGAGGTATGGTGCTGAGGGGGTTGGAGGTTTGGTGCTGAGGGGGTTGGAGGTATGGTGCTGAGGGGGTTGGAGGTATGGTGCTGAGGGGGTTGGAGGTACGGTGCTGAGGGGGTTGGAGGTACGGTGCTGAGGGGGTTGGAGGTACGGTGCTGAGGGGGTTGGAGGTACGGCAATGGGAGGCCATGGAAGTATGGCAGTGGGGTTTATCAGTGGACAGTCATGGAAGTGTGGAGTTTGGCATTCACTTAGTGGATACGGCGCTGTTTCCACGTGTAAGCTTTTCTCTCTTGTCACTTGGCCCCCAAGCTTCCTCAGATGCTCCCTTCACCTATCCTCAGTTGTGGATCGATCCCTATTGTCCCTTTCTGCCTGAATGGGTATCTCATGCTATTCTCCCCTTTCCTCACGTGCCATGCATGCAGACTGACGTGGAGCAGGTGTTTGCTGACATGGAAAAGGCGCTCAAGGCGGAGGTGACCAAGGATCGGTACAAGGGCATACCGGACGAGCCGGAGTTCAGGATCGACACACAGGCGAGCCTGAGAGTCTGGTTCGGCGGGAGGCTCGACCCGAGGCTGCTGGGAGGTCTGGCAGCCCTCCATGCGCATGTGATGAACAAGGAAGGTGAGATTCGTCATGTGCCTCCCTCCTCTCTTCCTGTCTCTTCATGCCTCCTCTTCTACCATCATCTGCCTTGGGCTTGCTGAGTGGCAATACACAGCTCACTGCCTCCTCTACTGCTTTCCTGCTGCCCGTCACCCACCTCCTCTCTTCCTACATAATTTAACCTTCTTTCCCTCTTTCTCTCGCCAGGTCTCTTCCTTTCCCCTTGACTCTTCTTCTCCCCCCTTCTTCATCTCCCCCTCTCTTCTGCTCCCCCTCTCTCTCCTTCCCCCCTCTCTTCCTCTTCCCCTCTCCCTTCCTCTTCCCCCCTCTTCTAATCTCCCCCACAGCCCCCGACTATGCAGCACTGGCGCTGCCAGTGGTGGAATACAGCTAGCGGAGGGGCCCCAAGACCACATGTCACGACTACGCCGCCTCTCCCTACATCTCACGCCCTTCTCTCTCTCCCCTTGCCTTCTCCTCTCCCCACAGCCCCAGACTATGCTGCACTAGCGCGGCCAGTCGTAGAGTACAGCTGGCTGCAGGACCCCAAGACCACGTGTGACGACTACGCCGCCTCCCTGCCCGACAACCTCGGGGACGCCATCCCCGCAGCCGGTGCCGGCATTCTGGAGCGAGCCAAGCAGATGCTGAAGGCCATGGGCACGTCATTTGAGGGGGATATGCAGCGCATGTTCGTCGTGCAGGCGTGCAAGGTGCAGGTGCTGTATGGGACCTACCCTGGGGACAAGCCGCTCATGTGCCCGCCAGAGTTTGTTCGGGAAATGCCGGATTGGGAGGCGGCTTTGGCTTATAGGCTGTCAAAGAAAGAGGTGCTGTTGCATGTGATTGCCCGTCTCACAGCCACATGCGAGGCTTAGTGCTGCGCAAGATGAGGATTTAGATTGCTGGTACGGTTTTTATCCTTGTGCACTCCTGTTGGAATATGTAGCTGTTTTGTTGCTGCACGAACAGCCTCACCTAGCAGAGATTTGCCCCTGATAATCACATCAGTACAGATTGCTAATCCAGCACACCCTACATGTGGTACAGATTGCTAAGCCAACGCACCCTACTCATCTTCAAAACTACACAGCCATTGATGGCTTGTGTTAGGCCAGGATTGGACTCTGGCAATTGCTCCATGGGCTCCTTGAAGTTGCTCTGCACCTCCCTCATCTGCTTCTCCAGATACTTATTTGATGCCTGCAACGCGCACAGAGGGAGCAGGAAAAACAAGACTCCATATCAATGTTGGGGCAAGTCAGGAATGTGGTGAATGTGAGGAATGTGAGGCGTCATGAGGATTGTTTAGTCGAGTAAAAAAGTCGGTTTACAAGTCGGGAATCTGGGGAATGTGAGGCGTCATGAGGAGATGACAGGCAAGCGTGAAGGCAGTGGGAGTGAAGGGTGTGGGAGTGAAGGTTGTGGGAGTGAATGTGTAGGAGTGAAGGCTGCGGGAGTAAAGGGTGTGGGAGTGAAGGTTGTGGGAGTGAAGGTGTAGGAGTGAAGGCTGCGGGAGTAAAGGGTGTGGGAGTGACAGGTGTGGGAGTGAAGTGTGTGGGGGTGAAGGCTGTGGGATTGAAGGCTGCGGGAGTGAAGGCTGTGGGAGTGAAGGCTGTGGGAGGGTAAACACTCTGGGAGATGCGGACCTGAAGGGATGCAATGGTGGCCTCTACCTCCTTGATCTTCCCTTCCTCCATTGCCCTCGCCACTTCCAGTGGTAGCATCGTTGTAATAGCTCGGCTGCTCCATGCAAAGGTCTCGGTCTAAAACGCCATGGAGGAACGCGTTCTTCATGTCCAGCTGCATCAGCTCCAAATCAAGTGCAGCTGCGATTGCTAGGAGCACACGCGCCGTCACATAGCTTCCCACAAGGGCAGGCGTCTCCTCATATTCCACACTTGCCATCTGTGTGAACCCCTTTAACACCAGCCTCGAATACTCGCATTCGACAATCCCATCCGGTCATAACTTGGTGTTCAAAATATAACAGTTCTTCATCACATTCACCCCTCGTGGTCGTGGAACCATCTCCCACGTCTCCTGCGCAATCTCTGCATGTCTTCATCTATAGCCTCCTTCACGTTGTCACCAGCTAATACTGCATATCCTCTAGGACGTCACAGCCAAGGGCAGAAGCACCCCGGACTGGCTCAGAATGGGCAGCAGGAGAAACCAACTGAGTGGCGTAGTCAAGGCAGTGGGTGGAGGCAAAGTCAGTGATAGCGGCGATAAGAGCCGAGACGGACGACGGAGAAGCAGTAGGGTCTGTCACAAGAGAGGAGAGAAAGTGAGAGACGACGCAGGAGGCAACGGGAGAACAGAGGGAGGCTGAATATGAGGAGGGAGAGTACGGAGGAACAAGGAGTGGAGGTCGGGAACAGGAGACGAGGAGCGAGCTCCCGAGGGACGACGTTGCCAGGGAGTAGAGGCAAGAGACGGGGAAAAAATCAGAGGAGGAAACGGTAGTGACCGAGGAGGAGAACAAGCCGGAGACGCGTCTGGGGGATGAAACGTGGGACCGTAAACAAGCAAAGATGGCGAGTGGTCTGTCGAAGGAAAAGGGAGACCAAGAAGACAAAGTGCAGTCACAGGCGGCGACGACTGCTGCGGCTGCTGCTGCTGCAGTAGCTGCTGCTGCTGTTGCTGCTTCTGCCGCATGAGCTGCAACCTCGTCGAACGTTGCAGGAACACCGCGGCAGACGCTCCAGCGTCAGCAACCCCAGCACCCCCAGAACCAGCACCTCCAGTGTCAGCACCCCCAAAACCAGCACCTCCAACCTCAGCATCCCCAAAACCAGCACCTCCATTGTCAGCACCCCGAGAACCAGCACCTCCAGCGCCAACTCCCCCAAAACCAGCACCTCAGCGTTAGCACCTCCAGAGTCAGCACCCCCAGAGTCAGCACCCCTAGAGTCCACTGTGACCAACTGCAGCGGCACCGAAGGCTGCTGTGGCGACTAGGAGGACGACGTGGGGGACCGTGGTGAAAGAGACGACACAGGAGGCGCAATCGAGGGAAGGAGGAGAAAGGGTGAAGTGAGAGACACCTGACGCGGCAGGACGTGGGGGGGGGGGGGAGGGACTACCAAAGGAGTGGGACTAGGAGTGGTGGTAGAATAGATAGTAAGGGGCGTCAACAGGGAAACCAAGGAAGACACAGGGGAGGGTGCAAGCCAAGAGCTTGTTTGCGCAAGGATCGAGGACATGCGCAAGGCAGCCCCAGATGCGAAACGCAGATGCAGCACCCGGGGACCCATTCCAGAGACGGGTCGGTGAATTCTGTGGGCGCGAGACACGTGGCCACATGTTCAGCTGATGCGCGGCGTAGGGTACCGCAAACGGCCACAGAAAATGGGGCGCACGTGCTTGAATCATGGAGGTGCGGGCGATCTCCATGACCAAGCCTATGCGTCAATCAGCAACTCCATTCTGATGCGGCAAGTCCGCGAGCATGTAGGATTGGGTGATGCCCTGCTCGCTACAGAACTGGGCAAGTCCACCGGAGCGGAACTCACACCCACGGTTGGAGTGTAGACGAAGCACAGGCAGGCTGCACTGGGTGCGGGTGGCCAGTAACCACGGGATCAAAGCATCAGGCATGTCGGCCTTCCGCTTGAAGGAAACATGGTGGTGTACCGGGAGAAGTTGTCTACAACCACAAGGAAGTAGCTCTCCCGGCGCGGACTAGAGACCGGGGCAGGGCCCGAGACGTCCATGTGCAAAATCTGAAGAGGTGCAGTGGCTGGCGCAAGCGAGGAGGAATGGGGAACGGCGCGCTGCCGACCCACGACGCAAGGCGTGCATGGAGGATCAAACGAAGGAGGGAGCGGGGGGAGCGGCAACGGTAGACCTGGGACAAGACGGTGCCTAGCCATGCGAAGGAGACGTGGGAGTACATGGTGACCTAGACGGTGGTGCCACATGAGGGACGGGTGGGTGAGTGACCAACAAGACCACGCCGTAACAACCTGACCAGATGCAGACACCTGGAGGGACGCAGTGTGCGGTGTGAAAAGACCTGACGAAGGCTCCTAAGGAAACGTGGCAAGCTGTGCCCCGGTGGTAGCATCCGTACAGGTCGCAAGCCTCTCGTATCTAGGAAACGTGGTGGTGACACCCAAGTCTTGGAGACGTCCAACACCCACCAAGTTCCTGAAGAATGATGTGATATGGAGACATGTGAGGGAAACCTAAAGGGACAGCTGTACACGGGAGCGTGGTAGCACTGCGAGAGACGTTTGATCCAAAATTGGGGTCGGCCAAAGCGACTGCGACTGGCGCTGAAAGCGGCAAGACGGTGGTGTGGTCTGTCGGAATCTTGCTCCTCTTGACTGTGCTCCTTGCCCTGCCTCTCTTTTCTTAGGTCCTTCTTTGTCCTTCTCTTGTTTTGGAGCTCTCTCTCTCTGTCTCCTCGCTTACCCCCTCCTCGGCTTCTCTCTCATGGGTTAGCCGATGGATACCTGGTCCTGCCGACAGAGAGGCCTTGGTTCCCTCCTTCCTTAGGCGCTCCTTCTCCGCGTCTGGGTCGCGCCACTTCCACATTCGTCACATGATCCCTCCGCTCCTCTCCTTTTGCACTCACCAGCTCTATTACTCCCGATTCCTTTACCTCCTTCACCTTCCACCGCTCTATAGTTAAGCCTATATCCAGCAGGTCTTTCTTTGCCTGCTTCAGGTACACCTCCCTTCCCGGCTGTATGTCCTGGGCTCCGCTGCCTCCCTTCCTTGCTCCCCTCTGTTTATATCTCTGTACGACACGCAGCTGTGCTACGTACAGATTCTCCAAGGCTGCTGGCAGCAGCTCTCTCAAGTATTTTGCCCTTGCCTCTGCTACCGCTACCCATTTCTCCTCTGACCCTGCCATCACTGTATTTGTCAGCAGCTTCGGTGCGTAAATGGGTAGGATCGGCTCTCTTCCGAGCAGGAGGTAATAAGGTGACAAGTCCTTCAGCGCTGCCTGTTTGCTGAATCTGTAGCCTGCAGTCACCCACGGCAGCCTAAGGTCCCAGTCCCTCTTGTATTGTTCCCCATACGCCCTTAACCCCTTCTTGAGGGTTTGCACAAACCGCTCCGTGAGCCCGTCGCTCTGTGGGTGGTATCTCGAGGTCCTCCTGTTCGTAATGCCTGTCTCTTTCAGCAGCTGGTCGAATTGCCCTTGGAATTCGGTCCCTTGGTCAGTCAGCACCTCCCCACATGCCCCGAACCGGGTCAAGACTTGTTCCTCGAATGCCTCTGCTATCCTGGCCGAGTTCTTGCTCGGTAGTGCCTTCACCTCCACCCACTTGCTGCCATGTTATATCATGATGAGGATGTACCTTTTCCCTCTGCGGCTTAGCGGCATTTCCCCTGCCAGGTCTAAGGACCAACGGAACCCCAATCCGTATATCGGTAGTGATTGTAACTCTTGTCTTCCCCTATCCAGTTCCGCCCTGTTCCTGCTGCAAAGCTCGCAACTCCTCACCCACTCCCTCACTTGCCTGCGCATTCCCGCCCACCACCACGTGGTTCCCACTAGCTGTTGTGTCCTCAATTCCCCATAGTGTCCTAACTGCCGATGTACGCGTGCGATGATGCCTTCTCTCTAGGATGGGTCGGGCACTACCTTCCATCCATCTCTCGTGTTCACCTGTAGCTGGTCATGGTACCATCGGTAGTAAGCTCCTCTGGCTCTCACCCTTTCAGCTACGGCTCCTTCCTCTCCCGTCTTGCCCTGTACCCATCGCAGTACTTCCCGATCCTCCCACACATCCTCTGGTCCTCTTTCTTTGCTCTTCCTTGCTCCTTCTTGGTCGATCATATGTGCCAAAGCCACTAGGCACGCTGTGGGTCTCTCTAGCGCCGGATTCCGCGAGAGGCCGTCTACGTGTTGCATATT